TTCTCCGTCTTGGATAAGATTGAACACATTTTAACTGCAGAAATGGATTGCTCTCATCGAGAGGAGCACAAATCATTCATCAAACTTTGTGTAGGATGACATCGCCTAACCCGGGTCACGGCCAGACCAATCCAATTTGACTTGGGTCAAACCTGACTTGGGTTAACCTGGGTTATGACCAACCCGGGTCACAACACTAGTTAAGGTTGACTATACAATTTGTCAAATTTTCCATTTGGTTATATTCACGCAATATTAGAAAACAGTGACTTCAACAATGCATTAATCTACAGTGACTTCAACAATGCATTTTTCTACAAGAATTTCCATTTAAAGACTTATCCACTTGCTTCCTCGCGGTGGTTCTTCGTATTAGCACCAAGCACAAAAATTGAGCTCATTTATGTCTTAACGACCCCCAGATCGCGTTAGCGTACGTTTGAAGCTGCAAACCTTACAATCTGACAAGCGCATTTTTAAAAGTAAAAGTTGTAAAACTAACACTGTACATCTTCAAGCCTCTGATGTTATAGTTGTACAGACGCGCTGCATACCATTAGTTGCCAAGTACAATGACGATGGCTGTGAGCCGCGAAATTTTCAAGCTTTTATCCTGAGCTCATTAAGACAATTTACCAATACTATCCACACCACGCTGCAAGATAAAATTACTTCCTATCACTTGTCTCTATTTGCACATTGGAGGGCATCAGTCTAAAGCTTGGATCCTTGAGCATGTAACACGCACCAATAAAAGCTCGTATGTGTCGTGTGCATGTATCATTAAGAAATATTACATCACCCTCGAATGACTCATTACCAGCTCATTTGTCGCAATATCCTGCGTGCTCTGTTTTCATTAGAAGACCTTCGCGTAATTGAAGCATTGCTATCAGCTTAATCGAAAATGCTTTCCGCCATACAGAAGTAGCTGATCTATTCCAATTCGTTTGCGTTCAGTACATGCTCGAAAATCTGTTCAGTGCAACGTAATCTCTGAACAGTCTACAAACCGTAGCTTCACGTGAGCTTATCTCTATGGGCTATGCTTCATTATCGTCTAGCAGGGTTGTAGGGGTCATGTGAATTTCTATATATTTCAAAGAGTATCGTGAGTTGGCGACGTGCAAAGAAATTTAGTTGCGAGGAATGCGGTAGTATCAAGCTAGACAACATTTTCGCATTCGCGACGCTCTGATTGAATGTGTAAGGTTGTGAGCGGAAAATAATTGCGCAAATGCTATAAATATTGCGGTTTGTACTGCCGCTGAGGTGCGAGACTAATTATATCTGTTTGACCACCTGCTGTATAACCGATCCAAGCGAAAATTAATGTTATGAGTATGTTTGGCGAATGTTGAGTTATTTCATTAATACCAGAACGCGAGACTTTACCGTCGTGAATGTATTTGTATGCATCGCAGTCGAATCATGCCATATGATCTCGAGTTTTCTTCGGTTTTATCCGGAGATATTTTTGCAGCAATAACGTTGTAATGACGAATGCGATCAGCAATGCGCCAGCAATCATCAAAGGATTAGTCCACAACATGATGGTGATGTTTTGGTGAAGCTGGATATCTTTAAGCTGGTCGTCAAACCTGTAGACATTTCTGGTGTACGTTGCGATATCTTCTAGATTCAACTGCGCTAAGTTCAGAGATAGCGGCTGATCAGTGGTGAAGAAGCAGTTCGGACAAGACACGTTCGTAGGCCACCTAGGTTTCCCAAGAACTCGGTTGACTCTATTGTGCATCAGCCACAACCAGATTGTTACGACGTGAGAGCCATCGTCATCTGCAAGCGCCAGCGTTTTAACAATAATATCGGGGCTTGCCTTCAAAAAATGACGTCTGCACTCTTCGCAGCCAAAAAAATGCTCAACAACAAGTCGAATAGCTTTGAGGACCTTGCTCGGCTGCAGCTGATCAGCATTGACCGTCAAACTGTGAAACAGCGTCCACAGCCCGCACGTAAATGTTGTGCACAAGCTCAAATTTTCCTTGCTGGCAAATAAATTCGTAGGATAACTGATCGCATTAGCCGAGTCTTTCCACTTGTACAACACAGCATTCCAGTCTTTTTGACTCCATGTCTGCTGCTGTCTTATCAAATCCAAAAGCAGCGCAAACGCAGCGCGATTCTCTTTTAGCGGAAAAGCTATTGCCAGTGTCTGTACCCACGTTACCGCAGCCTCATATCGTTCCCCTGTCAACATTGTCGTGCCCATAAAGAAACCGTCCTCAAGCGTTAGCAACACCGTACTTCCTGCATCCTTCAGTCTTTTAATACGAGTGTCCATAGCCTTTTCATTGTAAAGTGGCTCTACTGGGTCTCCAAATTTATATAATTTTATCAGACCGCGATGCTTTGAGGTGCTCGAGTTTATCCCGCCTACATTGATAATTGGCCCCATTCCGTTTTCCTTTAGTGTCTCCTCGATCCACTTGGCAACATGTCGGGCATAGACGTTATCATCATGGGACATATCAATGGCTGCCTTACTTTTTGGTGGCACATGGTACATTTTGATGCCAGGATACGAGTAAACGCCCTCACGGTCGCAAATCTCGTTCTGTGTTGTGCAGTCCACGGCGCCTAGTTGGATGGATTCTACCTTGGCGTAAATTTTTGCCACATCTTCCCATTCAGTAGCAAACTGAAGACAGTGAGGACACCATGGGGAGTAAAAGTTCACGAGCCAAACGGTATGCGTATCATTAAGCATGGACTTGAAGCTGTTAATGTCCAGTGTACGCACAATTTCTAGTTTATGAAAGAGCGAAACACGCTCAGGGCGCACCAGACTTACTTGACTCTGAGTTGTGTTTATCCTTTCCGAGGCGAATACCGCAAACACAGCAGATGTCACCAGAATTACTTGTAGCATTGCGTACAACACAGCGTTTAACAACTCTAATGACCTATCATATAATATTCCCATCTTATCCTCTCAAATAGAATCTCAACCAGCACTTTTGTGCGGTAGACATGATGGGCATCTTGCAGTGGTACGTGCTGTCCCTGCTGCCATTGATAGCGTGCTGACATAAGTCCAATATGATAGGCGGATCGGAATGAGATCAAAGCGCATACAGCGTAATTCATCGTCGCAAAGCATCAGCAACTGGTGCAAAGTGTCTCTACTGTCCGCCGCGAATGCACTCGCCCTAGGTAATGTATCGGCTGTAGAGTTAACACAGGCGTGCATTAATCAGGTGAAGAAAACGCGAGCGCTTAATTTTTTTGTGTATACGGACTTTGATCGCGCGCTGGAGCTAGCCTTGGCGTCAGATGAGCGGCGCGCAACCGGCCATACTTTAGGATTAATAGACGGCATTCCTATTGGCATCAAAGATGTTTTTTGCATGAAAAACGTACCCACAACAGCTGCCTCTCAAATGCTAAAAAACTTTGTTGCTCCGTATGAGTCAACAGCTACCCAGAGACTTCTTGATCAGGGCGCCGTGCCTCTCGGCAAGCTTAATATGGACGAGTTTGCAATGGGCTCTGGTACACTCTACTCTATGTTTGGAGCCACCATAAACCCGTGGTCAAAAAATTTAACTGACAAAGCGGCAGTGGCTGGGGGAAGCTCTGGTGGTAGTGCGGCTGCAGTAGCATCGGGATGCTGCTTTGCCGCGCTCGGATCGGATACGGGAGGCTCAGTACGTCAGGTGAGTGATATGGCGATAGGTTGCAGTCATCCAGTTCTGAAAAAGGTATCGTTTGTGTATTGCCGGTAAAAGCCTGCTGCGTATTGTGGTATAGTCGGATTAAAGCCATCTTACGGGCGAATATCGCGTCACGGTATGATATCGTACGCCAGCTCGTTAGATACGCCGGGTATTTTTGCTCGATCTGTCGGGTGAGTGCAAGATAATACTGCTGCGATATTTACGCTTATTATATGCTTGGCGTGTATGTAGCGATGCTGCCGTCATCTTGAAAGCTATCTCGGGTCGCTGCCATATGGACTCCACCTGTATGACTGATGAACTGTCTGAAGCTTGGGTATGTTTTAAGTTTTTGTAATGATGGCAACAAAGATTTCACGCTGTTTCGTAGTGCCAAGACACAGTAAAGGCATCACAGCAATTGAATAAAATCGATCTAACCGGTGTTCGAGTGGGCATTCCAGTGGAGTACTCTGTTAATGAATTGCCTCATGAAATCTTAGATGTCTGGGATAAGGGTGTCGCCTGGCTTCGTGACGCGGGAGCTCAGGTCGTTAGTGCGTCACTACCAACGACAAAAATATGCATCCCTGCGTACTACATTTTGGCATGTGCCGAGGCATCTTCCAATCTGTCTCGCTATGACGGTGTTCGATACGGCATTAGGTAAGCTTTTGTCGACAGGCTTACCCTTCGATTTTCGTTTACTGATAATTTGGATGCACGAACATCAGGGCCAAGGAAATTGCGCTAGAAAACCAAAAGGACCAGTCTGAAACGCTTGGTGACTTGTATTGTAGAACACGATCGAACGGATTCGGTGAAGAAGTGCAAGTGAGTGCCACCAAAATTTAAAGTATCTATCATTTAGCTAAATGACTATTGCTTGTATTTGTCCTTCAGCGCCGTGTCCTTTCTGGTGCGTTTGTGCTATCTGCAGGTGCCAAAACTGATTACTACGAGCGAGGTTTGGTCCTGCGCCAACGTGTCCGACATGATTTCCAACGAGTTTTTGACGAACAAAGAATTGATGTTTTGCTAACCCCAACGACGCCGTCTGCACCGTTTCTTGTCAGAAGCGAGCAGGCAAAGGAAGATCCGGTCGCCATGTATCTTAATGACGTCATGACCGTGCCAGCAAATTTGGCAGGTCTACCTTCCATATCCATACCAGTTGCCTTGACGATGGATGGTAGCTACCCTCTCGGTCTGCAGCTCATGGGTGCTTGCAAGACAGAAGAGCGAGTGCTGCAAGTAGCGAATGCGATTGAGCAGCAGGCTCATTTCCGCAGCCAAATTCCGGCGCGTGTGTTTGGATACTTTCACGCGATGAGACGAAAGATCCAAAAGTCACATTTGAAATAACGGCTGGTCCAATTGTTCCAATTTTAACTTCAATATGCTGTCAATTCGCTCAGCACAGAAATCAGACTGAATGGTAAAGGATGGGCTACTGGTGATTTACAAGCGCGCATATAACTGATCCGCTGTTGAATAGATGCAACAACGTCGTAGATCCTCAATTCTGGCTCCAAAACCCTCAAGATGAGCAGTAAACCAAAAATTTGAGAGTATAAAAATATGTGGATTTGGACAACCGACTACTTTACATCACCATCTCAAAATCGAAAGCGAGGCAAGCATCATAGTTAATCAATGCACCAGTTCAAAGTATGAATGTATCTTGGCGTAAGTTTCACTAAATGCAAATATGATCGTTAAACTTCTTTGCCCTGAAGCTGCGCTTGGACCACCTAATGTGTGTTGTTTCCGTTGCTATGATTATCACATCAGCGTTTACTGGTCTGCGCAAGACAGAAGATGAATAATAGCTTTGGGTTAACACAATCCGCGTTCACATATCCATCCTTAAACGTAAAAAATATTCGGTTGGCTATGCTTCAAATCTGAGCTTCTAGACTTGTCGCTTTTCAGTAATTTCTTCGTGCACATGCATTGTATGCTATTACCTGAAAATCTGCCTCTCCCGCCTATGACAACACGTTGGTATTGCTAAAAGAATCAACCGCAACAAATGCAAAAAGCTAATATTTCAAATCTGTTCAAGGCCTCAAAGACCAGTAGATAGCGTAAGCGGCTTGCAGATTCCGCAGCAGGAAGCTTGCGCGAAAAAACGCTGCTAATGCAATATGACAATGATTGACTCCAAATTGGTTTGAGCTCCCCGGGTGGATGGGTCATGCAACGTCACTTCTACCGTCATTGTAGGATCACTTTCGAAGCGGTAAGGAATGGCGATATGCTCCAGGTTGTATGCGGTGGGTTAGTTTGTCCTCAAGATTGCCTTCAGCAGCAACGTGAGTCCAACCTCGACTCTTGATCGAGCGAGTGGCGGATGTGATCAGCAAAATGATTTTTTCTGCTTACGCCCATTCACACATCGACTATGAGGCTTTATTTCTTCAACACATTTTAAATTGGTCGAGCTTATAAGCGGCGAAAGGTGGACTTCTTTGCATTAGGCTTCAATGTGTGTGTTTAAAAACTCGTTGAGAAACTGGAGCCAGCATAATCGATAGGCTGGACCATCATCACATGTTTAGAAAGTCCCTGAATGCTGCCGAGTATTTGCTATAACGTCATGCTCTTATCACTCCGAACATATTCGCCTATATTGCATAGGATCCACACATGACCAATCGTCTAAATGACTTGTATAAGCAGCAAAAAAATACAAGTGCAAAATTTTAGACAAAAAAGGCATAAACTGAGCGGGCTAAGTAACGTTCTCTCGAAAAAACAGTCGGCATCGTCCAGGCACAGATAGATAGATACCCGATCTCGTCTCGATATCGATTGCAATTCCAGCGAAGAGCTTCCTCCACAGAAATGATGCGGGCAGTCCGAGCACCGAATTTTATAAGAATCTGTTTAGTTGCTGTTGTTTCAGCCACATCAAAAGCCGTTAAGCCGCGCATGTTCTTGTGATTGATATCAGCATCTCCATGTGTAGGATCGCGCCGAAATAGTGATTGGAAAATAGCCTCGAGTATTTTTAGTCGAGCAGGAGTATCAAACGTCGCGAGCGCCTGCACGGCAATCGCCACCGAGTTATTCCCTGCTCATCAAAGCAATCAGCTTCCAGACGGGTTTGAATTACGAGAAATTCCACTACGGCAGACTGACCACTTGTGATTGCCCATTGTAACAAACTGTCCGGTCGCCAACGCTCTGCTGTATCATGTAAAGGTGAGACAACAGACAGAAGCAGCTTAAGCATGTCAAGTTGTCATACACCACAGGCGTAATGTATCGGTGTAGCTTCAGCAGTGTCGAGCAGGCGACTGTACCGAAGTTTAACTTTCGTGCTGCTGGATTATGTATCGGGGCCGTTACCGCTCGCAAATTCGTTTTTTCTGAAAGCTTCGTTTGCGGTGAGGCGCTATGATATAGCAGTAATTGTCTGCTTCAAGCTGGTGGTGGAGCACTGCTGTTTGCAGCAACGTTTCTCCAGACGCAGTGCACCATTCGATTAGGAAGGTGGCATTCCTTTTTGCCAACGTTAAGGGCAATGTTCGGAAAATTCCTAATTCATTGGCGCTTTGAAGTGTCATCAAACCTTTTCGAGTTTGATCAGCGGGATAATATTCATCTAATGAGAGCTGACTTTAGCGCGGTCTTAGAAACTCTACGATCAGTATATTATATCAGAATAAACCTATTATAAATGCTTCTTGCGCGTACATCATTGGTAGTAGTAGCTTTTTGCCACGATCGCGTGCTATTTGATCTTGTTGCTTGATCTATTGTTGATTTAGAAAAGTTTTGCCATCGCCTCTGACGCGTCCTGCATAGATATTGAACAGTCGGAAGTGTTTTAACGTACAACTAATGTCTATTCAGCGATTAACTTGCAGAAGCTAAGCGACAGTGAAATCCAACTGCTAAAGAACTAGGCGCCACCACCCACAAGAATATTGTTGATGGGAATATGCACAAGTTTCACGAAAAATCCGATAAAGCCCATCATAAGGAAACCCACGGACGTGGCGCCGGCAATACGGGCAAACTCTACACAAGAATCCAGTCAGAGTGGAACATTAGCGCATCTCAAGGGACCTGACGAGCCATACCTTTTCGATCGGGCTTGTTGCACTTCTTGATCAGGTGCAGTGAGTTCTTAAAAAACTGATTTAATGGCTGGAGTACGAGCGCGTTGATGTCAGACATTGATAAAAAGGGTAGGAAAGATTTCCTTCGGGAGAATACGAGAATGACACTACAAATGCCACGCGTTGCGGTGACATCTATTTATCAAATCGCAATTCAAGTGATTCAGCATTGGCTAAAATGTCTGGCCTGACACGTGTTTAAGTAGATTTTATTGTTCTCCCTAAAAGACATGATGCCCAAATATTGACTGCAAGGTTTGTTGTATAATTTTTAAGAAAAAATCAGGGGTCAGACTTTGACTATTGTAGGTAAGGAAGTGCGCTTAAGCTAGAGGGGGTAATGTGGCAGGGTAGGCATACTCATATCTTACACGGTGTATCGAATCAATACTGTACAGTTGTTCATAATTCACATTGCACTTTTGTTTGATTATAAATATAATAAATTTAGTATGTACTGAAGCATCCGTATGAAGAAGACGCGGGTGGTACACGAGGCACACAGACACCTCAAATACAAGGAAAATTAAAACGTGTTCGTTAAGTATCAGTTAATATAAAGTAGTCTTGTGTAAATGTACTTTTACAAATCTGGGAACTAGTTGCGGTAGCAACCTCTATGCGTTTGTAAACGCGGACTCTTGACTCGAATTTTTCGGTGCAAAACGCTTTTGCACTTGATAGCACTTCTAGTCAATCTCTAGATCGCGTCGTGAAAGCACCTGTGTCCTCAGTGAAGATGGAACATGGAATTCTCGAGCATCTGCCCCCAATACAAATAATTAGATAAGTGAGCACATGTCTATCTTGGACCCGACGAAATCGGGGACTGGCACCCAAAAGATGAATGCGATAGTCGCTCGACTGGTACATTGCTGAAGCAATCTCCAGCTCTGAGAGTAAGCTGTTTAACACCTGCAGAAGCGCCCAAATCGAGTTGCCGGTGGGAAACAGACGACACACATCGTCAGGCCGCTCATATTGAGCGTCCGAGTCCTTGGAGACCCAGACGCAAACGCAGGAATTCTTTTTGCTAGGCTAGCGGAGTAGTAACGGTAGCATCCTATGTTCGTGCAGCCTGACCGGGCACATCGAGTGCGTTCAAAGCTCTCATTCTGTCAAGAGAAGCAGAAAGTAGCAGAAAACTCCCAGGATCTAAGAGCTAGTATCGTCGCAATGGTGTCAGGCCCTGTTTCAGTGTGGTAACGGTTACTAATTCAATGGAGGAATGCGGCTCGCACCAAAATCTTCCGCATTCACCCTATCTTTTCGAGGAAGCGGTTGTGTAGACTCAGTGTAAAGTACAGCCTGACTATACATCAAATGGATGTTAAGATCGCTTTGCTCAATAGAGTGCTTAAAGAAATACATTTTTATGGTTTAACCCCAGGGCGACTTTCATCAATCCATTCATCATTACGTGTACAATCTCAAGCTGTCGCTGTATGGATTAATGCATAGTTCGATTTTTGTGCTGGATGAGCACTGAAAGTGGAAGCTATATAAATATGTCGGAAATACAAAACTCACCCATGCATGGGAAGAGCGTGCGACAAATCACTCTTGGGAAAGCGTGAAATCTTGAAGGTGCATACTGGCCTACTTTAAAAATTTTGGGAATTTTATACGTCGTAGTGATCACATTCAATAATTCTCAGGCATAAAAGGAGCGACTATCACTAAGAGAAGTGGAGCTTACTGTCCAGGCTTGTCGGTCATTGTAATGAGAGTCCCGGGATTTGTGATATCGCCAACAGTCTTTATAAAATAAAAACATCGTGCAGATACGTACGAAGAAAATCTGTAAAAAAGGATAGTGCATGGAGGCATTGACGATGTCATATTCGGACACAATTTTCGCGCGTCTTTCAACAAAAACACTAGTGAAAATGTCGATGGTTATGTTAATTAAGCCTTTCGTGAAGTTTAATGATATTGGATGCGTAAAGCATAGCCTTGCCTAGGCCTGGATTCCAAATACGATCTCATATTACGCATGGCATGGTTTGAACGCCACGAGCCATAGGCCGACTGAAAGTGGATTGTCCGAAATATTAGCGATTGTATTGTTACGCACCTCAAGCAGAGCCTGAAAGGCTGAAGCGGCTGTTATCCGTGGCCTCGGAATGAGACAAGAATAGGGACAACTGTTTGTCGTGGTTTCCTAAAGTGAAAGAGAGGCGAAAAGCTCAACTATGCATACTCAGCAACTACAGGAGGAAAGTGGGAATGACTGGGTGTCGCAAAATTCCGTTTTGGATTCAGCATTGCTGAAGGGCGGTTGTGAGTTGCGAATATAATGAGCAAAATCTGAAGATTTGAAGAATGTCTCATCCTTGTCACAATGTGACGGTAAAGCTTCTACCGGAGGTGATGAGGGTCAACTTATATTCGGTATGACTACCCCGGCCACTTCGCTTACAAGTAAACAATCTTTCTCTCCGTTACCCCGGGAAATTTTACTGTTCCGCACAGTAAACTCGTCACACAGTCACACAAGAGTGCAAAACAGCAAAGTCAAGCTTGTGGGGTAATCCTCACGGAATGTATGCACATAGCGACAAGACGATGTAGCTACTGATTATCCCGGCGAAGGTAAACTGAGTTTATCATTTTTTGCGGATGAGTATGTTTACGGGAACACTGAGTGTAAGGAGTGAGACAATAAACACTAAGTTTCTTGACGGAAATCACGACGAGGTAACAAGTGTGCTCTCGTCATGAAATCTACCTGGGTTAGAATATTGAAAAATGCATCACACAGAAGTGGACCCTTTCAAAGGATCCGTGTAATATCATCGGCCCATCCTTTTGCAAGAGCTATGAAAGCGGATTCGGTAAGAAATAACCTTTTGGTGCCAACTCTCTGTGTCAGAGAAATGGACGGCATATGGCGAAGTGGCCATGCTTACAAAAGGTAAATACAGCCGCAATTTTGCAGCAAATGCTGATCCTAGGAAAGATGTACCAAAGAACAGCATGGACAGCTAAACTTTGGTCAGTGCGCTTAGACTGGTCGACATGGTTTCTTGATTGTCGATCTAGGTCAGCGACATCCCTCTCAGTGATGTCTGTACTCCGCGCGGGATGCTCTGGGATAGCTGGTAACGCCACAGAAGCTATCAACACCAGGAGTGTCCTATAGTTTGGACTATACGGTGGCTACGCCCCAATGTTTTTACGATTTCTTCATACAGAGCACGGGGAATTGGATGTTGATAGTAATGAGAAGAAATGCTCGAATTTTGCGCTTAAAAAGGGGATCACCAAAATAGACAAGTGCGTCTCTGGCGTTTACGAAATCATTTTTCTGAGCTGTTTTATGGGAAGCGGGATCTGTGCGCGGATCCTGCGTAGCTGAAAGCTAATGTATAATGACCAGTGCCTTTATCTTAATGAAATGGAGGAAAGGATTCAACCTGACTAACAATTGGCACAAGTACAGTGTAAATCATGCAGACGCGATACAAACCCTCATCAATCTTCGTCAAAAGGATGTCTCAAAATTGATTGCGCGTTTATGCAATCGGTGTCTGATTTGGGTAAAGCAATGCATCTGGTAGAATTCAAAGCGTTTCAGATGCATTGGGAAGGCAAAAGTAAATTTAGAATGTCTAGAGCCGAGCACGCATTCGATTTTTTAGCAGCATTGATAGCTGCCTTTTCTGCAATAGCCATGTCCACTTTATCACCACCTAAAATGTTACTGTGGAGAAGTACCTTGTTCAAGATAAGGAGATGACGAAGTAGCAGCAAATTGTAGTAGGTAATGAATGTCCTTATCAAGATAGGCGTGCACTTGGTTGGCTCTTAGCCGTTTGTGCTCTATAACGATTAAGTGGCGTTGCGCACAGCGACGTCGTCACCTAATCTTTCGTCGAAAATGGCAAAAATGGTTGTCCTTCATCTAGCTAGTTGTTTGAAATATAAGGAATAAGTCGGGCCGGCTTAGTGTAGTAGCAAACGCATCTTTGCGTCGTCTCGACTATTTATTGTCGGATGTCAAATTGGTGACGTCGCCAATAAATAGGACAGTATGTACCACGTACCGGCTCGACATAAAATGGGTTGTGCTCTTTGGAAGGCAAGAAGTCCAAGGGTTCGGATGTCATTTGATAAAAAAATGAGTGTTTGCACATCTGAATCGCTATCCCTTACTGGATTACAGCACTGACCCACACGAACCTCAACGGGTAGAAAGTCCTCATGATGAGGACATCAGATACAAAATACTATGCGCGTCCCATGACTCCTCTGTGAAAGGCCACCTCGGAAGAGAAAAGATGTGCTGCTCTGTGCGCGCTATGTTTTGGTGATCCAACATGTATAGATAGGGAGACAGTCAAACATGTGCGCAAGTGTGTAACGTTTCAACGGTTTCAACCATCGACGCATGCATTGGCACCTTCAGCATGTCTGGGAGACACGGCAGAGTATTTGAAAAGTATATTATAGTGGTCTTTTAGAAGACTCATTTAGTATTACCCGGATTGTGATATTTGTGGGTTACCTGGACAAGACGGTTTTTCTCGATGTCGACAGCTATATCGCTACCTGTGAAGGTGAACCAAGATGCTCTTCGACAAAACGTTTCTCGATATAATGGCTTGACAGCCATCATCATCCCGGATATACGATTTTTCGACGTTTTGGTGAACTTTGTTCGAGGCGCTAGCAAATTGACATGAAGTGGCTTCGAAAGTGGACTGTCGATCCAATTTGACATACTGATATGAGCCTGGTTACACTTCGTAGCAAAATCGGTGATTTTAGCACAACGAGGTCGGTAGTCGTGCACCAATTACGCAACGATACGGAGCCAAGATGTAAGAAGCGACATGCCAGTTCCAGAAATTGATGAAAACACAAGAATATGTAGTGGCACGGTCGCAGCAAAAACGGGTTGAGTTGAGCTTTATTATTTGGAAGAGACTGTGAAGACAGCTTATGCTCTATATCGTCTTATCAAAGCCATATCACGGTCCCGCTCTCACGTGTTATTTGTTAGCAAAGCGCCTGATAAAGACTATGTAACGCCCTTTATGATAGTGATAGCTG